GCAAAGCAAGAAGCATTGTTAAAACAATTCACAGTGAACTAAACTCAGACCTATTACATTTTTGCAGTCTTTTGCAAGCTATTGTTTTAAGGTGAAAATGAGAAGAAAAGGTAGCTCAATATAAAACCATGAATAAAAGGTTTTAGTTTGTTTTTATATTGGTGCCAGTGTTCTCTTTAGAATAGGAAAAAACAGCTTTCCCTGTCTTTCTGTTTGTTTTTTGAATAAATCTTTTCATTTTTACATAGACATTTTATATATGGAGATAATATTAAAAAAAAATAGGTATATATCATTGTCCAGTTGCAGGAAGGCTCCACCACAGCAATCAGGAGACTTCTCTAATCTCTGGAATTAAATGATTTTTAAAAAGTAAAAATAACTCAAATAAACTGCATTTTGGATTGGAACAGAAAAAAAATAAAAAAAAAAAAAAGAAAGAAAAAAAAAATCTGTCCTTGGCAATGTTCACCTGGTTGCCCCCATTTTCAAATTACATTTGGAGAAAAACATTTTCTTTCCCCAGTTTTTCTTAATCTGCTTGCCTTCATCCTCCAGCTCCTACTTAGCATCAAAAGATAGATATCAAGGATAGTCATAAGCAAAATCAAACTGGCAGTCAGATATTACAGATAAAATAATTACGAAAAGCATGATTTTGCATACCACCCAGACAATCATATATTTTCTCTTTCCATCACATGACGTTTCTGAGGACATGTGCATCTGGCAGAGCCATGGACTTTGTACCAACACTAGTCTAAAACATGAAGGGTGCAGATGGCAAGTGCTAGAGAAGATTCCTGAAACATTAACTCCACACCACTGCTGTCTTTTGTTTTGTGGGCAGGTCCAAGGTTGGCTTTAAAAAGAACTAAGTACTAGCAAATGATGATTTTTTTCCCAGAATAGATCCAAACTACACCAATTTTTGAAATAAGAAGAAACGGCAATGCCTTTAATATTTTGGAGCTTTTCCAGATGGTCATCATAGTCCAGACTGTGAGTAAAGGTAGTGCTAAAATACCTCCAAGAGTCCAAACTCGTATTTGTTCAGAGACAAGTATGAAATTATCACTGGAAATGCTTTTCTCCTGGAAGTTTCTGTGTACAAACTCCCTTAGTCATATTTTTTTCTTAAGTCATTAATGTGCAATATTTGTCATGGAACAGGTACCTATTTGTGACAGACTTTGAAACTGATGCATTTCACTTTGTTTACAGAAAGTATGAACTTTGTTAGGCCCACAAACAATTTCTGTAAATATAATAGAATCATAGAATATCCTGAGTTGGAAGGGACCCTTAAGGATCATCAAGTCCAACTCTTGACACCGCACAGGTCTACCCAAAAGTTCAGACCATGTGACTAAGTGCACAGTCCAATCTCTTCTTAAACTCAGTCAGGCTCGGTGCAGTGACCACTTCCCTGGGGAGCCTGTTCCAGTGTGCAACCACTCTCTCTGTGAAGAACCCCCTCCTGATGTCAAGCCTAAACTTCCCCTGCCTCAGCTTAACCCTGTTCCCGCGGGTCCTGTCGCTGGTGTTAATGGAGAAAACGATCATCAAGTCCAACTCCTGGCACCGCACTGGTCTACCCAAAACTTCAAACCACATGACTAAGAGCATAGTCCAAACGCTTCTTGAACTCTACAGGCGTGGTGCCATGACTACGGCCCTGGGGAGCCTGTTCCAGTGCATGACAACCCTCTTGCTGAACAATCTTTTCCTGATACGCAGCCTGAACCTCCCCTGTCACAGCTTGACTCCATTCCCTCTGGTCGTGTTGCTGGTCACTAAAGAGAAGAGATCAGTGCCTGCTCCTCCACTCGCCCTCGTGAGGAAGCTGTAGACCGCGATGAGGTCTTCCCTCAGCCTCCTGTTTTCCAGGCTGAAAAGGCCAAGTGACCTCAGCCACTCCTCATATGTCTTCGCCTCTAGGCCCTTCACCATCTTCATAGGCCTCCTCTGGACACTCTCCGATAATTTCACATCCTGTTTGTACTGTGGTGCCCAGAACTGCACACAGTACTCGAGGTGAGGCCTCACCAGCGCAGAGTAGAGCGGGGCAATCACTTCCCGCAAACTAGCAGTGCCGTGCTTGATACACCCCAAGATACGGTTGGCCCTCCTGCCTCCCAGGGCACACTGCCAGCTCATATTCAGCTTGCTGTCGACCAAAACACCCAGGTCCCTCTCTGCAGGGCTGTTCTCCAGTGTCTCATCACCCAGTCTGTACTGATAGCCAGGGTTGCCCTGTCCCAGGTGCAGGACCCGGCACTTGCTCTTGTTAAGCTTCACGTGCTTGGTGATTGCCCAGCTCTTCAGTCTGCCCAGATCTCTCCGCAAGGCCTTGCCACACTCGGCAGGGTCAACAACTCCTCCCAGTTTAGTATCATCAGCAGATTTACTCCAAACACCTTCTAGTCCTACATCCAAATAGTTTATGAAATGGAACACTGGGGAACCCCACTGGTGACTGGCCACCAGCCTGGGGTAGCCCTGTTTACTGTAGCACTTCGAGCCCTGCCCATCACGGCACCCATGTTAGGATGTTTTTGTCCAGCTGTAACTGGCTGTGTGCTGGACATTTTGTCCAGGAGGAGGCTACGGGAAACTGTGTCAAAACTTTCAAACCCTTCACTGAAATCCAAAAAGATCACATCAGATGGCTTCCCTTGATCAAGTGGATGCGTGATCTTCTCATAAAAGGAAATCCAATTTGTTAAACGGGACCTACGACTCAGGAACCATGTTGTCTGGACCATTGAGGTCTCTTCCAACCTAGACGATTCTGTGATTCTGTGATCGTACTCCAGGTGCGCTTCAGTAGCTCCCAGGATAATCTTCTCCACAATTTTTCCAGGCACTGACATGAGACTGACAGGACTGTGGTTACCAAGACTCTTCTTTCTTGCCCTTCTTGAAAATTGGCACAACATTTGCCAGCTTCTGCGATGACGTCAGCCAGCTCTCTGGGCACCTGGGATGAATCCCATCCGGACTTGTGGACTTGTGTGGATGTAGGTGGAGCAGCAATTCTTGCCAATGCCCAGGGCCTCGAGGCCCCGGATGCGGCGACTGCCAGCAGCACCACAGTGCCTCTTGGCTGTCCCCAGCGCTCCCTGGCTCGGGCTTTGGTACAGCCATGGATGGGCTGTGTAAGGAAAGCCACGGTGCTTCTCCCCACCTCCTGCCCCTGGTAGTCCTCGCTGTGACAGCAGCCTCACGCCATGCAAGACAAGGCCTCTGTGAGGTCACGGCTGGCTGCCATTCAGAGCTCCACTGGCCAACGCCTGGCACTGTGGGCGTGACTGCCCAGCTGGAAGGACGCTCGCAGTGTCCTAGTGGACGTGTGCCTGTGACAGGCGTGCTCCTCCGGCCAGTTGGTGTTGGCCTTCTTGCTGACTGCCCTTGCCCTGGGCAGAGAGCGCTCCTGGACCTGAACAGGAAGAACTTGACGAGCAGAAGGCTTCACCATGGAGATGAGATCGCAGGGGCGTTTGAGAGCCCCACAGCAAAGAACCCCTGAGGAACACTCAGGGGAGGAAGCAGGGCTTAGCCAGCTCCCCAGGAATGGGTACGAGGGGGTTGCAGTCTCATGGGGACATCAGCTGGGGGGTAGCACAGACAGAGCCTCATGTGGGGCTGGGGGGACACAGAGCACAAGTCCACAAGTGCTGTGGGCAGAGCAAGGGCTCCGGGCCTTGCGAACTCCACCGTAAGTGGCAAAGAGGCTCAGGTATGTTCTCGGAGTTGGCTCATCTCCTTTGCTGAGGGTGCTTGTGGAGCACTTTCCCTTGGCCAGTTCTGCCAGTGGTGCTGATGGGGGCTGACAGAAACCCTGCTGCTCTGGGGGGCTGCTTCGGCAGCTCTCTGTCACCAGCTGACCCCCAAGATTGTGGCTTCTCAGCTCGTAAGAGAAAATTCCCCACGAAGGCATCTGCCCCAAACGTTGAGCACTGGCAACACCACGACTCCCTGTTTTTCAGGCAAAGCAACACCCTGCAGAAACAGCGGCTCTTCACAATTATCTTTACAATCGTGGCTGCTTTCAGTGAGTATTCCCGCACTGCCAGCGGTAGCACAGAGCCACAGGATGCGTGTCCCAGCGTGAGGCAGAGGTGCTGGAGGTCCACGGGGCCCTTCCAGCCTCGCACCTCCATGGTTCAGGGAGCTCCCCAGATACCAGCTACACGCAGATCCCACCTGGCCTCACAGATGGTACAGACATACACAAGCCTGTGGAGGGGAACCTGTAGGGCCTTCCCACCTCGCTGGCATGATCAGAGTGTGTGTGAGAGAGAGGCACACAGACAGACAGACAGATGGGGGGAGAGGAAAGTTTTTCAGCTGTGAAAGGGGGAGGCTGGAGAAAGTCCTTGCGTCTCCTGGAAACTAGTGCCAGGCTGGGGGCTCGTGCCAGGAAACCGCCCAGCTCCTGCACTGCTGTGCTATGGCTGCTTCAGCAGAGCCTTGCTCCGAGGTGTGCTGGGGGAAGCGGAGACAGCAGGAGGCAGGGCCAGACGTGGCCATTGCCTGGGAATCAGAACATGTCTAAATCGGGGTTTCTCATATGGGTGTGTGGAGGGGGAGGGATGCGGGAGGCTTTCTCCCTGCAAACAGGAGAGGGAAAATGGGGAGCAGCTGTGGAGCGCTGAGCACGCAGACCAGCGCCGCGCAGAACCCGGGGAGAGGGTTCCTGCTTGGAGCCACATCCTGTCTCTGCACCGGTTCATCATGTCCTCAGGCAGCTTCTCGCCCCACTGCTGTGGGAGGCTGCGGGGATCATTAGAAACCCTAGTGAAATAACTCTCTGGGTGATGTGTTTGCAGTTGTTGGCTTCTCTGGGGCTTGTGTGGCAAGGATGGGGCAGGAGTGGCAGGAGCAAAAGGTCAGTGACTGCTGTTGATGAGAGGAAAATCCCAGAGCAGAGCAGTGCTTGGCTGGTGGCAGCTGGGCAAACCACTGCACCCTCCATTTGCAAGCAGTGAGCCAGAGAAGCAGCAGCTTCTGCCATGCCGTGCTAGAGCTGCTGGCTCTGGAAAGCCACAGCGGCTCTGGTGCTCCAACGGAGAGCCTTTCTCTTTCAGGTGCTGCTGGAGCAGTATTTGCCTGAAGTAGTGGCCACAAGGTAAGAGGCCTCTCCTCACCTGAACCTCATGTGGTAGGGCTGTGACAGCCAGCCTTGTGGCAGCACTCCCTTGCACCCAGGGCCCGGGCCCCTCCCTCCCTCTCTTTTGCTAATGGTGGCGGTGAATCGGAAGGAAGCACTGGAAAGCTGGCAACAGAAGAGAGGGCTTGAGCACCTGTGTCTGTCTGCTCAGCCCTAAGCTTGGAGGCTCTAGGAGGCTCCCTGACAAGGTCTGCTTTGCCGATACCTGCAGGAACAGGCTTGATGGGCTGTGGGATCAGAATGAGAAGATGCTCCAGGAGCACAGTGGTGTGGCGGCTCAGCTGAGTGAGGAGATCGGCACCCTGAAAAAGGTAATCCTACAGTTCGGGGAAGAGGGTTTGGATGAGCAGGGCCCCCCACAAAGCCCTTCCTGGGTTTGCTGATGGGGTTTTCCAGCTTCCTGTGGCTACCCATCTCTTGCCAGGGTCAGCTTGTTTGCCCAAAAGTCCCTTCTCCTGGCCAGGCTGGTCCAGGCAATGTCAGCCAGGTCAGGGAGGACTGCCAGACAACGCACTGTGGGGCCTGGACGCACACCCACACGATGGCCTTGCACACCAGCGTTCTTGCCAAGTTCTCTCTTGTCAGACACGGAACAAGTCTTGTTTTGGTTTTCTGACATAGAATTATAGGATCATAGAATATCCCAAGTTGGAAGGGACCCATAAGGGTCATCAAGTCCAACTCCTGGCACCACACAGGTCTGCCCAAAAGTGTAGACCATGTGGCTACGTGCACAGTTACAGAGGCATGTGACTAAGTGCACATGGACGTCTTCCTTGGCGTGGTGCTGATGTGGTTGTTTCCTTTGTTCCCTTCTGTCTCTCCCAGGAACTTAAGGACTTGCGAGACGCTGTGTCTGTTAACTCTCGCAAAAAGTCTGAAGTGCTGCTTGACTGGGCTCTGAAAAGCACAGGTATGGACACAGGCAGGCAGGTCTCCTGTCACTAGGCTCCTGCTTGGCCCTCCCAAAAGAAAGCTACAGGCACTGCAGGCTCGGACCTCTGATATGGAGGGGATGAGACAAAATCACGGGACCCAATAGCCTGCCTATGGGCAAGCAGCTCCCTTGGCTCAACCCTATAATGCCCGCGGACTCCCTGCTGCTGCTCCTGCCATTCCCCAGCTGGCCCGTCACCCTCTCCTCTGCATGAAGCTGTTGTGGGGACCGAAAATCTGTGGCCAGGTCGTCCTTTGCCATTGCCAATTGGTGGCACCTGGGCTGCAGTCTGCTGCCCTGCCTGTGAGGGCGTGCTGCCTGCTCCCACAGCCCTCGGCTTTAGGCAGCTCTGAGAGAGAGACGCCGCCATCACGGGACACGGGCATCCCTTCCTTTCCTGGGGCCCCTCCCAGGTAGCAGTGCTGTCAGGCAGCCTTAGAAATAGCCTCCCGCCAGCCGTCAGCTGCTCTCTTCTCCCTTCAGGGGCCACCATTGACCTGGAGAGATCTTCAAAGACATACTCATGGGATGGCATGCGGTCGTGCAGGCTCTTCTGGCTTCCTTGTACCCCAAACCCTCCAGACACTATTCTGCAGGTACGCTAGTAGAAACCATCAGTGACAGTTTGTTCCCCTGGTAAAGCTGGGGGCAAGCTGTGGGGCACTTCCCCTCAGGAGAGAGAGGAGAGAGACCCCCACAGGCACAGGTACTGCTTGCGTGGTGGCACGGGCCCCATCACAGCCCAGCCATTCACTGTTGTTGCCCTCTGCTTTCAGCCGGACGTTTCTCTGGGCAACTGCTGGGCTTTCCAAGGGTCTCGGGGCCAGGTGGTCATTAGGTTGCCTGCAAAAATCCAGGCAACCATGGTCACCGTCCACCACACCTCAGACATGGACTCGGCGCTTGGGAAATTCAGCAGTGCTCCCCGAGATTTCACCGTCTCTGTAAGTCTCTGCTGGGCACTAGGGGCTGGGATGCATCCGGGGGAAGCTGTCACAGGGATGAGCCTGACCTGCTGCCCCGTTCTTTACCTCCACAGGGAGTGGATGAGGAAACAGAAGCCGAAACTCTGCTCGGGACATTCACCTATGCCGTGCAGAAGAAGCCTGTGCAGACCTTCCCTCTGCAGGTACAGTCAGAGGTGGTGGGCAGGAGGCCTGTCCAGAAACACTGTGTTGGCAGCAAGTCAGTGGCAGCAGTGTGCAGGGTCCCTCCCAGGGCAGCAGTCCCAGCCCATGGGAGAGAGACAGGGTGGGCAGGGAGGGTGGGCACTAGGCAGTAGGACAGCAGACACTGAGCGGAGGTCGGGCTGTCCCTGTTGCTGTGTGTGCCTGGAGATCCCAGGCTGCACATGCTGGGCAGGTACTGGTAGCAAAGAGGGCAGCCAGCACCTTGCCCTGGCCTCGGGACTTTCTCCAGGGTCCTTGCCCATCTCCCCCAGGATCAGAGAGCCTCAGGCTTCCACCGCTGCCCACCTTACTCTCAGAGGCTGGCTGTTGGCCCTGCCCGGGCACAGGGAGCCTTGGCGGCCTGGGTGGGAGAGGAGAAGCAGCGAGAATCACAGAATCACAGAATTTCTAGGTTGGAAGAGACCTCAAGATCATCGAGTCCAACCTCTGACCTCACACTAACAGTCCCCACTAAACCATACCCCTAAGCTCTACATCTAATCGTCTGATACTGGGTATCCTTAGAACAACCGGTATTGCCGCTAGAGACTGAGGCAAGGAAGGCATTAGGCACCTCTGCCTTTTCCTCATCTTTTGTAACAAGGTTCCCCCCTGCACCCAGTAAAGGATGGAGATTCTCGTTAGTCCTCCGTTTTGCGTTGGTGTATTTGTAAAAAGATTTTTTGTTGTCTTAACGGCAGTAGCCAGACTGAGCTCCAGATGAGCTTTGGCCTTTCTAATTTTGTCCCTGCACAGCCTCGTTACCTCCTTAAGTCCTTACAGAAGCTGCCTCCTTGGCCAGAGCAGGAGCTGGTCCTGGAGCAGGGGCCTGGCTGACCGAGAAAGGGGAGTGGAAGCAGCTCTGGCTCCTTCCACCTCAGGGGTGACACATCTTTTTGTGCTTTTTCTTTGCAGGAGATCCCCAGAGCCTTTCAGGTCATCAAGGTCATCATACAGAGCAACTGGGGAAATCCAGATTACACCTGCATTTACTGGGTGCAGGTGCATGGGAGAGGAACGGCTACCAGTCGTTGGCCAGGAGACATGTCTTCTGCCAATAAGAATAAAAAATAGTAACAAAAACCTAGACGAGGGATGTGGTTTGTCAGTCTGGTGCAAGGTGATGTTTTCACACTGGCCCTCTCCAAGCGGCCAGTTCTTCCCTTTTGCAGGCTGAGCCCACGATGGGCAGCGCCTAGTGGGAACACCGCTGGGGACTGTCCACCAACCTGATGTTGCCCTCTTTACTGCCTCTCTTTGAGCCTGACCCTTCAGCCAGTTGGTCACCCTTGGCATTGTGTTCTTCTCCAGCTACAGAGCTGGGCATTTTGTCCTGAAGAATATTCTGAGAGACGGTATTGAAAGCTATGCCAAAATTAAAAAATAAATAAATAAAACACACACAAAAAAAAAAAAAAACAACACCTCGACTGCTTAAACTTCATCCATCTAGGTGCATAACCTGGTCAGAAATGGGTATTAAGCTCGTAAGGCATGACTTTCCCTTCATGAACTCATGTTGGTCTGGACCAATGACTGCACTGACTCAGGCACACCCTGCAGGCCAAGACTTGCAGGCCTGTGTGTTCCCCGGAGACCTCCGTCTGGGTAGCCACATCAGTAACCATGGCTGGAGAGGCTGCAAGGGAAGCAGAGGCCATTGCTTTCTGCCGGGTGGCTGCACCAAGGGGAAGTCATGCCTGACCAACTCGATAGCCTTTTATGAGGACCTAACCAGGTGGATGGATGATGGAAAGGCAGTGGACACGGTCTATCTTGATTTCAGTAAAGCCTTTGACACTGTCTCCTGCAGCATCCTTGCAACTAAACTGAGGAAGCGTGGGCTGGACAATCGGGTAGTGAGGTGGACTGTGAATTGGCTGACGGGAAGAAGCCAGATGGTTGTGGTTAAGGAGATGGAGCCATGTTGGAGTCGTGTATCTAGTGGAGTCCCTCAAGCGTCGGTCCTGGGAGCAGTACTGTTCAATACATTCATCGATGACTTGTATGAGGCAATGAATGAGTGCACCGTCAGCAAATTTGCTGATGACACAAAACTGGGAGGAGTGGCTGTTATGCTGGAAGGCTGTGCTACCATCCAGTGGCACCTCGACAGGCTGGAGAGCTGGGTGGGGAGAAATTCAATTAAATATAGCAAGGGCAAGTGTAGAGTCCTGCATATGGGCCAAACCATCCCCAGACACCAGTATAGGTTGGGAACTGCCCTGCTGGAGAGCAGTGAAGGGGAGAGGGACCTGGTGGTCTTGGTGGACAGCAGGATGGCTATAAGCTGGCACTGTGCCCTTGTGGCCAAGAAGGCCAATGGCATCCTGGGGTGTATTGGAAGGGTTGTGGTTACTAGGTGGAGAGAGCTTCTCCTCCCCCTCTACTCTGCCTTGCTGAGACCGCATCTAGAATATTGTGTCCAGTTCTGGGCTCCTCAGTCCAGCGCAGAGACACAATGATGATTAGGGGAGCAGAGCATCTCCCTTGTGAGGAAAGGCTGAGGGAGCTGGGTCTCTAGTTTGGAGAAGAGGAAGACTAAAGGGTAAGTGTCAGGAGGACGGAGTCAGGCTGTTCTCAGTGACCTCCAGTGATAGGAGGACAAGGGGCAATGGGTGCAAGCTGGAACATAGGAGGTTCCACTTAAACAAAAGACAAAACTTTTCCACAGTGAGTGTGAGAGAACCCTGGAGCAGGCTGCCCAGGGGAGTTGTGGAATCTCCTTCTCTGGAGACATTCAGAACCCACCTGGACATGTTCCTGTGTGACCTGATCTAGCTGTTCCTGCTGGGCTATAGGATCTTTCAAGGTCCCTTCCAATCCCTAACATTCTGTGAGTCTGTGACTCAGATAACTCAAGCAAATAACAAGGTCTCTTCCAAATTAGTAATTAATCTTGGACCTAACCAGAGGACTGTCACTTTCCCTAAGTTCATTGGGTCAAGCATGTTACAGTAAGTGTCTGTCAGGAATAATAACCTTGGTTTTATACTAATAGCTTAGGAAAGAAGAACAATTAACATATTCCAGTGATTTAAATATTAAGGTTTTGTTGCTTAAGGTTCTTTACAGGCTTGGAAAATGAAAGGAAATTATCAACAGTAGCTACATTTCTAAGGGAAGGCTAGAAAAGGTTATACCTAAAGATCACAACTTCCAGAAACCTCTCAACAAGCATGATATACTCAGATGATTTGCAATTACAACTGAGTGCCTATGAAAAGGAACATTGAGTAAGAACCAGTTTCAGTGGAACCTACTTTGATTCCTAAAGGCATGTGCTATCAAGCCAAACAATTTCAACACATGGAAAATAACCATTATAAAACAGTAAATCTGACTCAAAACTCCAAATATATAGGATAGTGCCACATCATCTTTTCTGCAATATGGTGAAAAATGCACATACAATCTTCCGTCAGCAGTGGGTCCTCCTACATACCTTTCATACATACCTGGAAATTTTCACGCTTACCTATCTATGACTTTTTTCAACAAGTATACATTTTTAAATCAAAAAAGATGACTGAAATATCATCAGCTTTCTGAATACAAACTTATAACTCTGTCCATGTACAAGGTCTGTTCCGCTGTAAAAAGATTAAAAGCTTGATCCCCCCAGCCCCCCATTAGCACCACTCTGAGCTTCCTAAAGCGAAAATCTCATCTAAATACAGCATTGGAATTGGTGTGTTCATCCCCAAATTAGCCTTTCTTTATGGACTTCTAGTCAATGTTTGCTTTATCGAGTATGTTTGCTTTTATTTTATTTTTTTAAGCAAAGATAATGGTTCTAAACAACAAGCATAATGATGGTAACAAGCATAATGATGGCAACAAGCACAGAGCCGAACAGCAACTGGGCAGGAGAGTGGAGGTGTAGGGCTGATGGGCCTTGGGCTGGGCTGTCTGCAGCAGCAGGAGATTTAAACACTGCATAGCCGCCAGTAACAGTCACCCCCTGGAGTGGTCAGCCCAGATCCACAGCAGTGTGTGGAAGGGCAAGGGGTTTCTGCAGCAAGGAAAGCCCAGAGTGAGGAGGAGACGCCAGGAGCTGGCAGCCCATAAGTGAGCATGCGTACTTGTCCAGCTGCAAAGCTGAGCATGCTGTCCTGAAGGATATTGTGAGAGATGGTATTAAAAGCTATGCCAAAACCAACCAACGAACCAAACAAACAACACCTCGACTGCTTAAACTTCATCCATCTAGGTGCATAACCTGGTCAGAAATGGGTATTAAGCTCATAAGGCATGACTTTCCCTTCATGAACTCATGTTGTTTTGGACCAATAACTGCAATGGCTTTCAAGTGTTTTGCACTAACTCCCAGAATAATCCTCTCCTTAGTTTTACAACACAACAGAGAGAGACTGAGAGGCCTGCAACTACTGGGCCCTTCTTTCTTGGCCTTCTAGAAAATTGCAATAACGTTTGCTACTCTCCAGTCAACTGGGAACTCCCCAGATTCCCAAGACTGCCGATAAATATCCTGGGAGAGGTCTCACCGTAACATTGACCGGCTCTGTATTGCTCTGACAGGTATCAATAAGCTGGGTTTCTTTCAATATCATTCCCTACAGTAGGAGGGATAGAGGAGGGATACAAACTGTGCTCCTCAGCCATCTCTTTACCGATTTCCCTAAGGCCCTGAAGTCTGTGTTGATTGTTCTTGGACTTCTTGTTGTGACTTTATTGCTACCCACTTGAACAAGCAAGAGCAAATAATAATCTGAGGGCCATGCCAGGCTAGGGAGTTTCCAGGTAACGTACTTTACCTGAGTGCCAGGGAGGCAGCAAGCTTCCCTGAAGGCTGGGGCAGGTCGGCAGATCAGGCCCTTTCCATGGGTTCTCCACAGAAAGGAGTCACCTGTGACAACAACCTGCTGCTCTTTCCTCATGAAGGTTGGTTATGGTACAGGCTAGAGACACAGGGAGGAGCTTCTCCTGCTGCCCCAAGAAGAGGCTTGTTTCCATTGACCTCTATTCCTCAAGTCAATGCCTTCTGGTCTGTGGAGAGGCGGCAGACCATCAGCCTAGTCTCATGTGACAGCCGCCTCTAGGTCACAAGGCATTCTGAGAGCCCCACAACAGAAAGGAGCTGCATAGGACGAGTCAGTGGAGGAAGCAGGTCCCAGCCAGTTCACTGGAAATGGCTATGAGGGGGTTGCTATGTTGTGGGGACATCAGCTGGGGAATAGCACAGACACATCCCCTCGGTGAAGCCCCTAATAACTGCCCCTAATAGCCCAGCCTTCCAGCCTTCTGCTGGAAGCCAGATGGCATCCAGCCACTGCAAGTGCCAGGCCAAGCTGAAACACAGACAGAGGGGCCAGAGCTCCCTCCCCAGACAGACACCTCCACCCAGACGGACCTCCCCAGGACCGAAGGAGCTGCCCAGACCCTCAGCTACTGGGAACTCCAGAATGTGGCAGGCCTTCCAGTGCCTGAAGGCCGAGTGAGGTGGCAGAGGATGCCTTAGATACGGTGACCTTAAGATGGTGGATTTGAGTTCCCGGAAAGCAGGTGTCAAGGCAAAAAACAGGAAAACCACACAGGGCTTTAGCAGAGCAGACTTAATCACAGAATCATAGAATATCTTGAGTTGGAAGGGACCCACAATGATCATCAAGTCCAACTCCTGGCACCGCACTGGTCTACCCAAAACTTCAAACCACATGACTAAGAGCATAGTCCAAACGCTTCTTGAACTCTACAGGCATGGTGCCATGACTACGGCCCTGGGAAGCCTGTTCCAGTGCATGACAACCCTCTTGCTGAACAATCTTTTCCTGATACCTGAACCTCCCCTGTCACAGCTTGACTCCATTCCCTCTGGTCGTGTTGCTGGTCACTAAAGAGAAGAGATCAGTGCCTGCTCCTCCACTCGTCCTCGTGAGGAAGCTGTAGACCGCGACGAGGTCTTCCCTCAGCCTCCTGTTTTCCAGGCTGAAAAGGCCAAGTGACCTCAGCCACTCCTCATATGTCTTCGCCTCTAGGCCCTTCACCATCTTCATAGGCCTCCTCTGGACACTCTCCGATAATTTCACATCCTGTTTGTACTGTGGTGCCCA